TGTGTGCGCACAACGTGACAATGAGTGTGTTAGTGTGTATTTTTCTAATGTAATACATTACCAATGTATTTATGTATTTTAATTTTGGTTGTTTTAGTATTGTATGTTTTAGTAATTATGATTTTAATGAAAAATTGGGGCATTCTGGGAGTTTGTGCCCTGTGGTGGGTTAATGAACAGCATGTCTTGCTCTTACATCATCTGTCCTTTGCTGAACTCTGTTTTATCTCCAGTATCTCGATAAAAAGTGCTAGATGACATATCTAGACATGTGTAGCACTATTATATTATTTCACTAATGTCATAATCACATATTATTTTAAGCCTGTGAATCAAAATGTCAAGTTATTTTTTAAACATCATATAGCCACATGATCTAAATTATTAAGTAGGCCAAGAGGATCTATATTGTACTTAAAATCACAGACTTACACTATAGTTCAGTATATTGGGGTCGGTTTTAAAAGAAGTCTGTTCTGCTCACCAAGGTTGCATTTATTTGATCAAAAATACAGTAAAAATAGTAATATTGTGAAATATTATTCCAATTTAAAATAAAAGTTCAACATCATTACTCCAGTCTTCAGTGTCACATGATCCTTCAGAACTAATTTCTAATTGGCTGATTTGCTGCTCAAGAAACATATCACATTTATCAATGTTGAAAACAATTGTGCTGCTTGCTTCATATTTTTCTGGAAACTGTGATCAATTTTATTTTTCAGGATTCTTTGATGAATAGAAAGTTAAAAAGAACAGCATTTATTTGAAATAGAAATCTTTTGTAACATAAGCAGTTTTACTGCCACTTTTGATCAATTTAATGCATTCTCGCTGAATGAAAGTAATAATTTTTGTTCTTTTTTTCATATTTTTGTCACATGTGGCTATTGTAAGAGTATTTTTGAAAATCTCAGCTCAGGGCTGGTGGACATATTTTTACTTTGTACAGTATGTTTTATATAATCTGATTTTATGATAATAATTTCTGCTAAACACAAGAGCTTGATACTTCTGTATGGTAATGTCCAATACCTCTCATATTTAGTATGACTACATTGTTATTAAAAAATTAACAAATCATGCTAATATATATGAGATATTGTAGTTTTTATTAACAATTTGAATTAATTTCTTTAAAAATAATATTTTCTGTTTGCATAGTTTTAGTAGTTTTGTTTTATTGTTGTCATTTTTGTATTTTTTTTTAGCAATGTATTTATTTATTAAGCTGGTTATCATTGTTTTTGTTTTACTTTCAGTACCTTATAATAACTCAGGATGTTACTTTTTATTTAAAGGCAAGATTCCAATTATGACAACTTACACTCATTCATTCATTCATTCATTCATTCTTTTTTAATGTAGCCAGTAATTATTTTAAAAACATTAAAAACAAAACCATTCTGAGAAATAAGGTAAATTAATTATACACTCTAGAAAATGCTGGATTGTTGTTTCAACCCAACTTTGGGTCAAATATGGACTAACCCAACTTTTGGGTAAAAAAAAATGTAATTAAAAAATGTAACCCAACAGCTGGGTTAGTACATATTGACCCAGAGATGGGATGAAACAACCCAGCATTTTTTTTAGAGTGTATTATTAATAAATGAACATATTCACTAGAGTGGCGTGGCATAGGCCTCTTCTCTGGTTTTCAGCTGTAATTGCATGCATGACTATATGTGGAGATTTTTCTGCTATATGAAATATAAAACGATTGCTTTCAACATTAAACACATAAAACATAATACAAAACAACACAATCACAACCCAGCATGGGCGCAATAAGGGACTGAAATACAGATGAATTATCATATTAACTGGTGGCTGTCAATTTAAAGGTTTCTCTTCACATTAGCTTTAGGCTCTAGAACGCATGAGGCAATATTGCTCAACGAGCATGCATTCCTGTCTACAGCGCGCATGAGGCGCGTCAGCACTTTTCCAGCAGATGCCGGTGCGCGTGTAGAGTTTTAATTACACGTTGCATTTTTCGCTTGTTTTATAATTCCGCATCACCATTAATTAGCCCGAGGAGGGGCATACCGGCGTCTCTCTCTCTTCTCCATGTGTTCAGTCAGAAAGTGTAAGGAAATGGTCTCATTCAGCTCTGACGACACCCTGTCCAAACGTCTGTGAACGAAGCCAGTCTGGACTGAGGTAAGGCTGAGATGGGGAATCCGTATCATAAACCCTCCGGATTGAATTAGCAATATTATTCATGCGTAAAGCGCAGGTCTCCTCCCTTCGCCCTAGTGGTCAGCGGGGTTTATGAGTCCTGAGCCATATAGACCCGGACAGGACAGCGCGCATGAGTGTTTAAAGAGACTCACAGGCTGACTGAACAAACTGTTCCGGTGTAAAAGAGTTTGATTTATATCTGTATATTCCGTTTATTTTATTTTATTTCACTGATCATGGAAAAAGGTAAGACAAAAACACATGGAACTTTTTTTTTTCCAATGTCAATAGACAATGTCATTTACACAAATATATGAGATGATGAAATTAAACCTATTTGAACATGATCTCTGTTCTCAGATATATCTCAGTTTAGTCTTACAGAGTAGAACTAGAAAATAATGTTTGGATCATTTTTGGACTTCAGTTATAATTGTAGATACATTTTGCAATTTTTTTTATACATTTTTGTATTTAGGGGATTTAACCCGTGTATGTGGTAAATCATACAGAATGAGTTTTTTTGAGAAAGTAAAAATGCACAAAGTTTCCCTTAAGGGGTAGGTTTAGGGGTAGGGTTGGTGTAGGGCAATAGTACATACAGTTTGTACAGTAAGTTCTTTGGGAAACCCAAAATGGATTTTCTATGGCATTGCTGTGAAAAAAAAAGCCCTTTTGGAACCTTTATTTTTAAGAGTTTAGTCCATTTTTGTAAAGGTATCCATGAATAGAAAATATATAGAAATATAAATATCCTCAGTATCCTTCCCTGATGGGGTTTGTCTCCATAGAAACCGAGAGGAACATGATGACGAAGTTCTGGAAGGAACATTCCAAGTTCGCAACAGTAGAGGAGATGATGCTGGATTCAAACGCTCAGGAACTGACCCAACACGAGCTGCCAGAGATTCTCTCCCTGCTCCCTTCTCTGGCTGCTTCTGATGTACTGGAACTTGGTGCTGGAATTGGGTCAGTAATGGCATTGTCTTTGACTTTGGATTCCGATGAGACCTGCACATTTCTGATGTTTGGGTTAACCATACAAAGTCCAAGTCATATTTCACCTTGAAATCAAAATAGCTGTTAATGTTTTGCATAGAGAAAATGAGACCTGTTTTTTATGATGTAACATTATTTTCATGACAGACTGTCCCAAATTTAATTACCGTGATGCATCCAGATGTTTTACTTGAGGGCTTTTTCTGTCACTCTCATTATTTCCAATGCACTTGTGATCCTCATTAGATTCTCATTAATAGGATAGTTTTCATATTAGAAATTGAATCATAAACTGAAGGCATCACATCAAAAACTATCATAATGTATGAAAACTTTATTTTTACAAGATATAAAAGATATATACAAACAACACTAAAAAGTGATGAGATCAATAAGTCACGGCAACATATGTTTTACTATTACTTGAACTCATCGAAAAAACTGAACCAATTTCAACGTCCTTTTTTTTTTGCTTTTTTTTGCAGATGCAACAAGACAGGATTTTTAAAAATGAGTTGAAATGACAGCCAATTGTTAATATACTTTGAAAAATGAGGCAGTAACAATGCTTAAGTTTTAAAGAAAATTTAGGCGAACATTTTTTTACAGTAAAGATATAAGTCCTATCATTATTTTTCACAGAACTGCAGGAATGCTGGAAATTGTACTTAATAGTAAAAAAAAAAATCACAATGTAAAACATCTTGAAAGTTCTAAAAAAGCCTTCACTGTTTCTTGGCCAGTACTGAGCTTTTAAGCATGGTTTATTTGCTACATTGTTATCATGACCTTTGCTCTTTTCAGTCGGTACACACGTCACCTCATTGGCAAGGCCTGTCATGTGACCGCTGTGGACTTCATGGAGAAGTTTGTGGAAAAGAACAGAAAGGACAACAGTCACCTGGGCAACGCTGAGTTCATCCAAGCTGATGTCACAAAGCTGGACTTCCCTAAACACAGGTGAGAGAAAACATCAGTATATTCAGCCCTATACACACAGCTACAGTGCGAGCAGAATTATTATGCCAGCCAACATTCTGATCATATTTTTTTCCAAGCACATTTGACCAATTCCAAACCAATTCTTAATAACTACTATTAATTTTGTATATAATAATTTATTTGCGATATATAATTGTTAAAGAGCGCAGTGAAAAAGTCTTATATGTGACCATGGACCACAAAACTAGTCATAAGGGTTTCGAAATTGAGATTTATACAGCATCTGAAAGTTGAATAAATAAGCTTTCCATTGATGTATGGTTTGTTAGGACAGGACAATATTTGGCCGAGATACAACTATTTGAAAATCTGGAATCTGAGGGTGCAAAAAAATCTAAATACTGAGAAAATCTCATTTAAAGTTGTCCAAATGAAGTTCTTAGCAATGCATATTACTAACCAAAAATTAAGTTTTAAAATATTTACAGTAAGAAATTTACAAAATAGCTTCATGGAACATGATCTTTACTTAATATCCTAATGATTTTTGGTATAAAAGAAAAATCTATAATTTTGACCCATACAATGTATTTTTGGCTATTGCTACAAATATACCCCAGCGACTTAAGACTGGTTTTGTGGTCCAGGGGTACATATTCAGATATGTATAATTATTAAGCAGATTCACAAAAAAAGTCACAAAAAACAGTTTGAGATGAAAAGATATTAAAGGCAAAAGACATTAAGAATTAAGATGAAGAATTAGGTGTTAAACCATGAATGAAACCATCAGGAACCCTTTATTCTCCAGTGCCACTATTTTCCAGAACTGCAAACTAGTCTCCAGACGTACAAGGTGTCAGGTTCTCTGAGACTTTCACAAGCTGAAGCGTCATGAAATAGATGAAGACTGATTTTTTAAAAGGTTTTCTAGGCAGATAGGTTAAGAGTGCCATTGCTGTGATTCTCAGTTTAGAAAGCATCGATTGGACAAACTTTTGGCTACACCCCTAAGGAGTCATCAGTATTTTTGGTCTATTTTCCTAGAAAAGAAAGACAGTAAATTGTGTATACAGTATGTCAAGTGTTAGTGTACAAGAGCTCACAGCTTCAGTCTTGAATATACTGTAAAGCTGCTTTATTGGCATTGATGCTTCCATGAAGAACATTTAACACCCATGGAATCGTTCCATTCCACAAAAGTTTCTTTATAGCAGAAAAAGGTACTTTAGATTATTATCCAATTTTAATTTCATGGGGTATAAAAAGATATGAGAAGGTACATCCCATCTCATTTGATGTCTTTCTCCATCTTCCACTTCATCTCTCTGGCACTTTCTGTTTCAGTTTTGATGTGGTCTTCTCTAATTGGCTGTTGATGTATCTGAGTGATCAGGAGCTGAAATCATTGGCTGAGAAGCTCCTCATGTGGCTCCGCCCAGGCGGCTACCTGTTCTTCAGAGAGTCCTGCTTTCACCAGTCAGGTCAGAGAAACAATGCCCTATAATTTGACACTTAATGGCAATGATTTCTTTATTTTCTATTTTCACAAATGATACTGTCATCTTGTTTTCTGATTGGTGACAAAACAATGTGATAAAAATCTAAATGAATAAGCACTTACTGTCACAAACATGTATTGCTAGAAAATATAGTTATGCAAATAAATTATGAACACTTTGAACATGGTTTATTATCATTATTATTATTATTAGCATTATTGGAGCCTGAAACAGGTTATTGAACACAAAAATGTAGGGCTGGACATGATTTATTTTATCATTGAAAATAAAAAGGATTTGGTATGTCAGTAAAAAAAATTAAAAATCAGAGACACAAGTTATAGCATTTTTTAACAGTTACAAGAACAAATATATATTTTTCCTTCGTATAGTGGTGTTATTTTAGTATAATTGAGATGCTATTATATTTTTATTAATATTTTGAATTCGTTTTTATATTTTATATAAATATGTTGTTTTTGTTTTTCTTTTAGAAAAACCTTTTTTTTGTTTTATTCAAGTTATTTTGTTGTGTGTGTATTAGTTTTGTTTTAAATATGTCTGTACAGTTTTTATTTTATTTCAGCTTTAGTTTCAGTTATTTTAGTACATCAGGATAAACTAAATGAATATGAGAAATGTTGCCTTGGCAACTAGCTGAAATAAAATAAGTGTAAAGCTGTTTTATATTTTATGTGAGTTACAGATATAACCCTATAGCATGCACTGATCCTCATGCTTTAATTATTGCTTTCATTACAGCTTTAGAGTAGCATTATGAAGATGATTTTAATATTATAGAAGTTTAAGTTTTTCTATAGATTTTAATGTTTGTCTTTTTGACATCCACAGGTGACTGCAAGCGGGATTTTAACCCCACACTCTACAGAAGTCCTGCTTACTACAACCACCTGATGACGTCAGTCCTGCAGGACGAATCAGAGAAGACGGAGAAGAAATGCTACGGGTTTGACATGGTGGTCAATAAGACAGTTCAGACCTATGTGAAGGTAAACCAGTCAGTCAGCAAACTATTCTAAGGACATGAACTCCTTGTGTATAAAAAATTGAACTGAAAGTGTTTTGTCTTAGGTGAAGAACAACCAGAACCAGTTGTGTTGGCTCATGCAGAAAGTTCGTCGTGATGTGGTTCAG